CCCCCCCCCCCGCCCCCGCTGTAGAATGGGGGCTGGTTGACAGGGCAACCAACCATGTGATTAGAACTTTTAGTTCCACCCCTTTACCTCTGGGAAGGGTAGAGGGGCTGGAGGCTGAATCAGTTGCCAATGGCCAGTGATTTAATCAATTATGCCTATGTAATGAAGCCTCCATAAAATCCCAAAAGGATGGGTTTTGGAGAGCTTCTAGGTTGGTGAGCACATGGAGATTTGGGGAGAGTGGCATGCCTGGAGGGGGCATGGGGCTCTGGGCCTTTCCCCATACCTTACCCTCTGCGTCTCTTCCATCTGGCTGGTCCTGAGTTATAAAAGTTAAATCTAGTAAGTAAAATGGTTCTCTGAGTTCTGTGAGCTACTCTAAGCAAAATAATCAAACCTAAAAAGGAGGCTGTGGGAACCTCTGATTTATAGCTAGTTGGTCAGAAATATATGTAACAACCTGAAGTTGGACCAGCGTCTGAAGTCCAGAAGGGGGGAACCTTCAAATTGTAGCAGAAGCACAGGTAACCATCTAGGCTTTCGACTGGTGTCTGTAGCGGGGTGGGAAGGGGCAGTCTTGTGGGACTAAACCCTTAACCTGTGGAATCTGATGCTTATCTCCAGGTAGATGGTGTCAGAATTGAGTTGAATTACAGGTCACCCAGCTGGTGTACAGAGAGTTGCTTGTTGTTGTGGGGAAGCCTACACACACACACACACACACACACACACACACACACACACACGTTGACATTGGGTCCAGGAACCCAAAAGAACAGTCTAGGTCAAGGTTCTAATATGCCCACAGGCACAGAGGCATGAAAAAACATGGCAGATTTGGAAAACTGTAAAATAGATATAACTAAAGCATGAGGGACTTGCAGAGGAATAGTAGACATCAGGTCTAAGAAGTTCACCAACGACCATATTCTTTGACGGTTTGGATATTATGCTCTACAAAATAAGAGGAAGGTGTGACTCTGCAAGGACATAGCTTTATGAATACGTGTCTTGTGTAGCTTACCTGCAGAAAGTCAGCAAATCCAGGGAGAGAGAGAGGGAGAAGGGGGGGGGAGGGGGAAGGAGAAGTTAACAATATGTTCTGGAATTACTGAGGCCTTTTTGTTGTAGTTTTTCTCTGTGTGTTTTGAAGTAATAGAGTCTTTAAAGATTTGGGGTGGGGATTCATTTAATAAAAATAGAAACCATTTCTTTAGTATTCTTTTAATTTCTTAGAAATATCATTGCCCATGCTTGTTGATAGTCTACATATTTACTCAGCTCCACTCATTAGTTTTATTCCGGGAGTATTAATCATTTTATAGAAAAAGAAAACATTGTTGGACTATACTAATAACTCCCAGCTGTCTTCATGCCTTAATCATGCAAAGAAGGAAGGAGAGAAAGAGGTCTGGAGATACTCTTCAGAGTGAGCAAATTTCTCTGGGATTCATTTACTTCAAATCAATCAATCTTTTTAAAGCCCTTTTTATATATAAGTGTTTTCACAGATGTAGTGAGGTTATTGCTTTACAGTATAAAATTATATATTTCACTGTTTTCATCATTTTCTAATTTATAATATTTCTGTAATTGTGTTAAATATCGTACATCAGTGAACATTAGTTGAATGGAACACCATAGTTATATTTTTCTATATATTTAGAGCAGGTGATTTTTTTAAGAGTTCCATAATCTGCATGGTATTGTGCTTAATCAGGATTAAGTATTCCATCATTATACATTTTATTTTTGTTTTAATCTAGAATCTTTCATTAATTTCCATCTGTAAGTCACTCAAATCTAAAATCTAATCTACTGGAACTAGAATCTAAAATAAGATGCAATCTGTAAAATTTGCTGATAAAAATGCAAAATTTCTGTTTTACAAGATGAGCTATTGAAAAAGGTATAAGCAAAGTCACATCTGTATTTTTTCTTCTTAATTGTCAATGTCTTTTATTCCCAATGTGCACATTATCCGCAACCAGAAATTAACATGAATTATAGTATGCTAGATTTGTGTGATTAAAAAAAAAAATACGAAACTAATTTGACCTGTTTACTTACAGAGAGTCATATCCTAGAAGATGTCAACAAATGTATCATAGCCTTGAGAGACCAGGATGCTGATAATTTAGATCGAGCTGCAGGTGCTATCAGAGGACGGGCCGCAAGAGTTGCCCACATTGTCACAGGTGAAATGGACAGTTACGAGCCAGGAGCTTACACAGAAGGTGTGATGAGAAATGTTAACTTCCTGACAAGTACTGGTAAGTCTCTGTCCCCAATAACAGCTGCTCTCTTACTGACATTTGCATCTATATAGCTACCAAATATTCATACATATGGAAAGGAGATTTCAGTCTGTGTGGATTGTTTTGAAATAGATTGATCTACTATCTGATAGGGGCTTGCATCCTGTGGTTGTGTGATTTGAAATTTATCTCTGGGAAGTAAATATATTCACTGGAGAAAAAAGGCTTTTATACATATATGCATTATATAAATTACCCACAGGCCTTTAGCCACTTATGAATGTTTATTAATGCTAGAGTTGTTAGGAGATATAATTAGGCCAGATGTGATAAGTATGTAATAGTTTCCAAGCTCTCTTTTAGCTGTCTGATTGGTACCCCCCAGGTTTTTGTTTACATTGCTTAAACAGAGCAAACTTGTCCTATGTTTCCAGAGAAATGCTTTCTACCTTCTTTTGCAGTCTGTTTGCAAAACACTATTTTGTTCTTTCACATAATCTTTGATTACTTAAGAAATACCAGACCAGGATTTTGTTTTGGTTGCAGCACCGAAGTTAATATTTTCTGAAATCAGCTAATAAATGCTTAGTTTTTGAATCACACATTAAAATAGTATTCTTATTTTAGCATTGTTATTAACATTTCTCCAAGACACTTACAGAACATTCAGAGAAGCATTTAAATTCATATGAATTCAAAAACAGTGGATACAATTTGAATGAGGGCAACCAACCATTTTTAGAAGTCATCACAGCAGTAGTTTTTCTTGTGAAAAGCCCTTGTAATCTGTGAAAACCTCAGGCTGAATTTTTCTTATTAATTACTTCATAAGAGGAGAGTGACAGTGGACCCATGATTCCTAAAATATTTGAAATTCCATACTTAAGTCATTGATCCTACCTAGAGAATTGTTCACGTTATGCATGGGGCGTATTATGTTTGGATTTACATACTTGTTTTGTGAAAGGGGTAGAAGGGATGGAGATGGGTGATTTGCGGGGAGAGGAAGCTGCTCCTTGAAATTAACAAAGATAAGCTTATCAGCAGTTGAATAGCCTTCATTAGGGAATAGTTCTGAAGAGCTATACCACAAGGTAGCCTTGGCAAGTTTTGTGGAGAACTGATGATTAGTGTTGCTCTTTTCCTAGCATGTTGATACAGAACTCATTAATGAATCTTGGCGCATAGTTTTCTCAGTATCTCTTTAAAAATATTTCTAAAACAATGAAATGCTTAAGATATACTAAGGAAAGATGAAGGAGGTGTATTTGCAACTCTTGATATGATATTTCTATACTACTCAAAAGTCACTGGTGTCACAAATAGGGTACAGGGTAGTTGCTTTATCAGCGAGGTGTGGCGATACATTTACTTGCTTAAGGAGATAATTGTGTTAGAGTAGTTCAGCATCTCTTCCCTAAACTAAATTTAGCTGGTCCTTTCTTGTTGGTCAAAATCAAGTACAGAGTTCTCTGATTTTTTTCTACCTTCTGGGGATAGAATTGTAAGTAAAAAGAAGAAGGCATCAGTGGTTCTCCTTTTAGCCAGTGAAAAATGATAGGGAACTGACTAAAGTCTACCAAAATTGTACCTATATCTTGTTTCTGTCTCAGTTTTGTAATCGTATTGGTAATGTCTTGTGAACACTCTTATAGTCACCATGTCTGTATAAGGTACTAAGTTTATAGTTTTATTCTCTATAGTATAGCGCCCATATCTGGACTTCATATGCAAAGAAGTGGAAGTGAAATTTTGAAATGTCCAGAATGTGAAATGTGTTGTGGGAACACTCCATTCACAATCAATTCTTATAATCTGAAATCAGAAAACAAAAATGAAACAGTTATTTACACATTTAATTACAATTTTGTCAATACCTGTATGATTTATGATGACCTTACAAAATAACTAACCAATATGGCTACATTATCATTCAATCAGAAGAGAGAGAATCCTTTTTCCTCTAATTACTTGTATGTAACTTTAATTGAAATTCTCCAGGTAAATTATGTCCTGTACCCCAAATACAAATACAGTAATATGGAATAATGCTGGGTTATTCTGTATAAGTCACATCTTATTAGTAATATAACAGTATAGTTTCCAATTTTGTCATTTTAGTTTTTTAGATACTTTTTGGCTTATCTTAAAATCTTCTCATTTTGGGTTTTTTATGTCTAATTTCAAACTTTTCTGCAAACAGCTTCCCTTGAAATTTATCAAAAGCATTCCTCACTAAAGGGAATTCTGAGCAATAAATTAGTTGAAAATTCTAATTTGATCAGTTTGATCTTAACCAAAGCTAAAATATGTGAGCATTTTCTCTCCCATAGAGGTATTGTCTATGAAAAATACTTCCAACTATTCTATCCTCCACAATTAAGTAACAGAAGATGTTCATCTTTATTCACATCTGCCTATAACTTGGACTTGCTATTTATAAATAATCATCAAATTAAATAATTCAAAATGTCATGTTTTATGTTATGAAGCCTTAATAGTTCATGTTTTAGCAAGTGAATGGTCTGTATATGTGGCCTATTTTTCTTTCTTTCTTTTCCTTTTATGGAGTTCTCAGGTCTTAACCCTTTTTCCGAAAATAACTCAATAAGGAGCTATTGTGAATTGTTCTTATTAATGAGACTTTCTTATCTTTGCACAATTTGCCTTTAAAGTACTGTCATCAATGAAGAAACCTAAGTCATACTTCTCTAAATCACAAAGAATGTTTTTGGAACATTACACCTTTGCTTTTAATCAGACTTTGTGGCTCATTAGCACATTTTCAAGATTTGTTGATCTTCTAAGTGTTTTATCAGCACTTAGAGAAGCCCCGTTACATTGCAGGATTTGCATTGTTCATAAAATCAACCAGCTGGTTTTCAGTGAAATGTAGGCAACATCTGGAATGCTACATTTCATTCAGACTGAGGCGGAGTATTGTAATCTCCATGAGAAATTTTTATTCCGCCCAATTCTTCCCTGTTACTAAGCACCTCTACCTGTCAGGAATTCCCAATAGGGGAGAGAAAATATTAGCTTTTTTGTTAAATAACAAGCCTTCTGGATTGCAATGTGAAGGCTTAGAAGTTGTATACCTAACATCAATTTCAGTTTTTTCACACTAGGCTGGGAGAAAACCTAAATCAAGAGTGGACACACATAATATTTTTTGTGAGTGATTTATGAATTCTATCAATTCAGAAATCAGCAGGACCCAAAGCATCTTTTGCAATCACTCAAACTCCACCTGGTTTCAAAGTCAGCTAGGCTCATGGACCAAAACACAACAAGCACACAAATGAACCTGACCAAGACATCCTGATGGCCTCCAACATTGGCAGCTGGTAGTGATGGCAAATAAAGTGTCATTCATCAAGTACTCTTTCAGGCCCAAACTTGAACCCTTTCCCCTGTTAGAGTGGAGAAGAGTCGTATAGCTGCAATTTTTCTTCTTAAAGGCAAATGAGACAGTTGAGAACAATTTAGAGCAATAAATATTTCCAAATTTTTGTTGTAAAGTTTTCTTGTGACCGGATGAAACAACGGATAGATTGTTAAGATGAATTTCTCTAAAAAACATTTTAAAAACTTTAATAGCAGTTAGTAATTCTGATCAATTTCCTTCATTTAATAGTTTTCATATACAAATAGCCTGCATTTTTGTAGCCTAATTAAAGCATTTTTTAGCTACTGTCCTTATGTTGCATCTCTGTTTATAATCTTAAGTGGCTCTAGGATATAAAGCAGAAGCTTTAGTTCCAGCAGTCCTTGCCCACTACAGTCCTGCAGAGGTTGAAACTCAGTGGTCCACATACTGGATGTGATTCAGTGTGACTCAGAGAATTCTTATGTGTCCAGTAGAGTTTTGACCAACAAAGTTTTATGTTTTATTATAAGAATTACTTTCTAATTATATATATGAATATATATACATAGACACATATACATATATATATATCCAGATTAATGGCCTATCGTAACAAATTGGAGGGTCTGGCAACACTAGAGCAGAGTTTACCGTGGAAACGAAAATGGCTGGAGCTTAGTAGTGTCTTTCTTTTGGTTGAGACTGGGCCATGGTCTCCTTTATTACCTCTCATTATATGCCCAGTCTGCTTTGCTCACTTAAGATACCTACCTGAACTTTGTAGGCGTTTGAATTCACCTAAACGTGAATTTCTGGTTTTTTCTTCCTAGCATGGGCCAAAATGCACCTTCTACTCCATCTAAGTTGTTGCTTTCACAATCACATGGGCATGCCAGGATCATTTCTGCCTTTAGGTCTTGTCCATGCTGTACCTGTTATTTTGAATACCCTTGCGCCTTATTTATCACATCAAATTTTATCCACCTTTCAAGAAACAGCTCATACCCTCGTGTACTCTAGAAACATTTTTTTTACTCTCTCTGGAAATAGTGAGCTCCTCTTGGTCTCCTATGCTGTAGATTTTAAAGGACTTGCCACTCAGGTACATTGTTCCAGGCAACTATATGTTACTGATGAACTCTTCAGGTATATTTATATAGAAATGACTTTTCTTTCAAAACAGAAGATAGGAGAAAAGAAAACTTGTATCATTTCTCTTTGCATCTCTTCCAAAGCCTACCATAATGTCTTGCGTGTGCTAGATTAAAATGATACAGAACAAAACAACTCTTGAATTGAACCTATATGCTTATGCTAATTTTATTCCAGCAGGGAAACACCTTTTCTTCTCTACTAGCCCTCTACAATTATAATTATTCTTTATAACTTTCTCAAATGCCACCACCTTTACAAAGGAGCTTCAGATTCCCTTTCAGTTAGAATTAATTGCTCCATTACCTGTGTTACCATGGATGAGCTTATCCTCTACTTAATGCTTATTTCACTTTGCCTTGTATCATAATCAGCCATTTACATACAAGTTTTTCCCACTAGATTGTAATGTACTTAAAGGTAGATACCACACTTTATTTTCATATTTCCCAATAGCATTTTATACATTGTAGGAGTACTCAAGTCCTTCTCC